ATTTTGCCAAATTATTATAATTTAACCTCAAGATTATTTAACAGCGTTTGTGCTCTTGTTATTCAAAACATCTTTCATGTGGTTTAGGACCATTCACAAATAAAGCCGCAATATGAATGACATCATGCTAAGTCAAAGTATTTACATCACATACAATTTAATTTTGAACCTTAGATACTACCAAGTATAAAAACTTTTTCTTTGGTTTCTAATTTTTGAATACACTACGATTATTATTTATACTTATTGTGTGACTCATATTTATAAGAGGTATCAGTTTGACATAAATAAATGATCACATCCCTAAAAATTAAATAAAAAATCTTAAGCTGGTCACAACTATGAAGGTCTTAGTATCCGACAGTCCCTATGATTTAAGTTTGCGAGACTAAGACCTCGACATAATGTTAACTATAACTAAACAATAAATTTCCATCTAAGTTTTTTGTCAAATAAGCGATCCCTTTAATCGACTGCTAAACTCCTAGATTCTTCTTTTGTCAAAATTAACACGAGAAGTTCATTTATGATAGCAGTTTAAAGATAGCAATTTGTTTTTATATTTTCTAAACCAGTTAAACTATCACGTTTCGCTGGTGGTTCTGATGCTGTTTGTAGGATATTAAAGGTTGGCCCATTGCACTATTATACAGGGTGAATGGTGACCAAAAATGAAACTTCCTATTTTTTTGGTGAATTTTAAGGGTAGTCTTCCCTATAAAGTTTTTATCACAGGGTACTTTGTGGTTTTTATCTAGGACGCTTCGTTAAAAAAATACAGGGTCTTAAACTTCAAAAAATATTTTAAATTTTTTTAAATAATAAAAACTAGGAAGTGAAATAATTAGAAATTGGGCACATGTATTTATGTAAACATTGTCCAAAAATCTGAGGCCTTTTCCTTAAATTTACATGCTCCAGTGGGGGAGATACATGGTATTAGTGACATATTTTTCTAAATAAAATAGTACACCACTGTTTTACAGTAACAACCATATTTTCAGATTCCTCTTTCAATTTTCTACAAATTACTACTTTGTTTTTCAAAAAAAAGACTTGATTTTCGAGTAAAACTTAAAAACCAACTGAAAACACATTTAGTTAATTGACATGACAAGCACTAGTCATTCAGTTATTTATTTGAATAAAAAAATTAATAACATTCGTCATCATTTTAATGATTTTATTTGAATAAATGCTCAAAAATATCTCCACTTCCAAGAACACAGGCCCGACATCTTTTTGTAACGAAAATGCAATTTGTTCGAAATTTATTGTTGTTTGAATCTGATCAAAAGCATTATTTATTCTTTCTTCTAACTCTTCAGAATGTCAAAGTTCCTATTACAGCCCACTATGTAATTTTAAAAAGTATATTCCAATATCGAAGTGTTCTCAGTTCGTTTTTTAAGTTTTACTCAAAAATCGGGTTTTTTTCGAGAAACATAAAAGGGTAGTAATTTGTAAAAAATTGAAAGACAAATCCGGAAATATTATGGTCGTTACCGTAAAGCAGTGGCGTACTATTTTATTTAGAAAAATATGCAACCGGTACCCTGTATCTCCGCCTCTGGAGCATGTAAATTTTAAGAAAAGCTCTCAGATTTTGGACAATGTTTATATAAATACATGTACCCAATTTCAAAGTATTTCACTTACTACTTTTTTAAAATTATTTAAAAGAATTAGAAAAATTTTTTTTTAACATCCTGTATCGTTTTAACGAAGCGTTCTAGATAAAAACTTTATAGAAAAGACTCGCCTTATAATTCACCAAAGATTATGAGGTTTCATTTTTGGTCACCATTTGTGAATCACCCTGTATATTACAAAATAATCGTCGAGAATATACAATAGCAAAAAATACTAATTTATGTTAATTAGGTATTAAAAACGGTGATATTTTTTTTACAAAATGATTTACGACATCTTTCCCAGTTTAGATTGAAGCAAAATCAGATTCTGATACAAAAGCTTAGTATGTTACAGTCCGTACGATATTTGTTGGCCCCTGCGTCACTTTCTTGGAATTAACCGCATTCAACACCGGAGGTAGAAAGACATTGGCAGTGTGGCGTTCACCGTAGCAGTTTGCAGTGCATACTGTGTTTTGCAGATACAGAAGGAGTGTTCCTTTGTAAGTGTATCATCCTGTGCATTTCCAGTGTAACTTCTTATTAAAATAAATCAATGGAGGTGAAAAATAAAAGGAATTTAATTCCCAGTCAAAGAAAAATCTACTTTAGACATATTTACCGTATATATTTTAATATTATGAAAATAACGCGGAAAATTTCAAGGTACACCCCTGCCGCGGTAAATTGTTACGGTATTTCCGATAACAGAACTTTATTGGCTTATTCTTTTCTTGGAATTCTATCTCGACAAATATTGTACGGACTGTGGTTTCCTCTGTTCAGTTCAGTGAATGCGAATGGTGTGGCACTTATGCACTACACATTTAAGGCGCAACATCGATTTGTTAAAAAATAGTGATCCACATTTGACCCCTAGTTCAATTGAACTTTGTGTGATAATTTTAACTAAGGAAGGCCCTGTAGAAGTTTAGCAGTCAAATTAAAAGAGACCCTGTATTATATTGAGTGCTTCAAGTCCTGATCAAATCATATTTATTTTGCATTACAGTTACTTTTTTATATATTAATTTTCAAAAATCTTAATGTAATCGTCATAAGAATGTCATAAGAAACAATCCTGAAAGTTAAAAGCTCTCAGTAGGCCAACCAATAGAGCGAAAAAAGAGGCTGTTTTTACACTTGAATATTACAGCAAATTTCTTGTATTTCCTTTTGAAAAATACTTAGTAAATGAAAACCCATGTGAATTCCCCAGCAAAGTCGTGAACAATTTTTTTTTAAACAATAAAATGCAAAAAATGATATTTGTTTGTTTTTTTTTTCATAATATCTCGAAAAATAAAGATGGAATTGTCTTAGAGAATTACTTAATTAAATTAGAAACCATCTTGCGCATAATTAAACTAAATATTATTATGTCATTTTCCGCAAGATTGTTTTTCCAGCTTCAAATTTGACGGAGTTATGAATTTTTGAAAAAACGTCTATTTTAGAGGTTTTTCCGGATTTTATCTGTAAAAAAGTGAACTGATCGGGTCGTATAAAAAACCATTTTATAGGATTTTTTATTCTCTACAAAAGTCCTATTGAGAGTAAGACGATTCCATCATTATTTTTCAAGACATTTTTTTTTAAAATGTCATTTTTATGCAGTGCAGTAAGTGTGCCAAAAAATCTCTATTGGTTGGCCTACAGGTGTTATGAGATAAAATCGATAGAAATTATACCTAAATTTGCAATTTTGAAAATGTTTGAATTATTTATGATAATTGTTTAACAAAATAAAATAAAGGTATATATATATACAGAGTGACCCATTTGAAAGCGGGCCACCCTCATAACATTTTTATTTATGGAGCGATTTTGACGAAATTTTTTTTGAAATGTAGAGGGGGGAAAAGTGTATTTTGGGGCCAAGTGCCGTCCAGTTCTTTTTTAAACTAAGGCCTACTAGATCACATTCAGAGGCTGAAAAATCCAGAATCCATATTAGCGATTTTTTTAGAAAAAATCTGCGTACGCCACTGGATTCGGCGTCCCCTGAAATGGATCTGTACCAAATTTCATGAAAAAATATTCAACATTAACGATTCTGCGGCTAAATTGCTGTCAAATTGTTTATTATGCATAAAGAAACTTTTTATCTAGTAACCCATGCGATAATAAATCAATCACAACAAATATTTAATAACACGTTTAATAGACATCATTATACCAAAATACAATGAAACAGACAGAAAAATGAACGAGAAATTAACATAAAATTTACAAAAAATACAATAAAATAAAATTAACACACATGAATTAAATTAAATTCTGGAATTTTCAACTAAATCTTCATTTAATTGAATGCATTTATTGTATTGTTTTTGAATGTGTGCCATAACATTAGACAATTGATGTGTTGTAATTTCAGCGCATGCCTATCTTCTTCTTTCGCGCAGTTCTTCTGCATTCATTGGACGAGTGTAGTAAACTTTTTCTTTAATGAACCCCCATAAAAAAAATCTAGGAGAGGCAACATTTACAAAAATATTCATTCAATTAAATGGAGATTTAGTTGAAAATTCCAGAATTTAATTTAATTCATGTGTGTTAATTTTATTTTATTGTATTTTTTGTAAATTTTATGTTAATTTCTCGTTCATTTTTCTGTCTGTTTCATTGTATTTTGGTATAATGATGTCTATTAAACGTGTTATTAAATATTTGTTGTGATTGATTTATTATCGCATGGGTTACTAGATAAAAAGTTTCTTTATGCATAATAAACAATTTGACAGCAATTTAGCCGCAGAATCGTTAATGTTGAATATTTTTTCATGAAATTTGGTACAGATCCATTTCAGGGGACGCCGAATCCAGTGGCGTACGCAGATTTTTTCTAAAAAAATCGCTAATATGGATTCTGGATTTTTCAGCCTCTGAATGTGATCTAGTAGGCCTTAGTTTAAAAAAGAACTGGACGGCGCTTGGCCCCAAAATACACTTTTCCCCCCTCTACATTTCAAACAAAATTTCGTCAAAATCGCTCCATAAATAAAAATGTTATGAGGGTGGCCCGCTTTCAAATGGGTCACTCTGTATATATAATCTTAAAAACCTAATAAAATACTTATATAAATATAAATATAGTATCACTTTGTTAAAAATGAACACATTAAATGAACAATCAGTTACAATAGTTACATTAATATAAGTTTTTCCAAGGAGAATCTTACTGATTCTATATACCAAGAAATATGATTTATTTGGCGCTTCGCTGTACCTATTTTATTAGGTATAAAGTGATCTTTTATTCGAATAAGGAGAATACTGAGTTCGAGAAATAATTTATGAAATTACTGTAATTTTATATTTGAATATTTGAATTTTTATCAGAAATCGCAAATATGTTTGCAAAAAAGTGTTTAAGGAAAAATTTTCTTATGACCTTATATGAAAATTCAAATATGCAAAACAATCATAAACTTTATAGAAAGACTGATAATTTCTCTACCCCAATTTTAATACTTTTGGTATCAACTTCTTTCCCCATTATAATAGAAGAATATATAGAAGTATAATATTATCAAGATTTGGAACATGTAAATGAATCTACACTTTTGATTGCTCAACAACCGTTATTGTAGATTTTTAAATAATACTACGTTCCAATTTTCTTTCCAGGTGCCATTGAAGGGATATCACAAAAGTTTTTTGCATTAACATTTGCCCAATTTACAAATTTTTCTCCTAGCGTTGCAGCACATGTAATCAACATTAACACGTCACCCTCTGCCTGATGCTCCTTGATTGGTGATCGTTTGGTCATTCTAGTATAAATATCAGATAATTTAAAGCTGATACTGAAATTTGGAATAAATTAAAAATTAAAAAATATGTAACTAAATTATACCTCAGAAATCAATGGCTTTTAAATTGGATATGAGGTTACAATCACACAAAATGTTATCAAATATAAAAACAATACCTTTAGTACAGTCATTGAAGCTGAAAATCAGCTGTAACCTCCGAATTCTTTGAAACTGCATGGATTTGCATCAAAATTTAGAATAAGGCTCATCTTAGGCTCAAGTTCAAAAGTGACATAAGCCCGATTGACGGTTTTTGTTTTGTAGGGGTAAAAACTACCTCTAAGTGAAAAAAATTGAAAAAATTAAGTTCTAAGCATTTTATTGATAAAAATCTTGTTCAAGCGCAAAGATTAAATAATGTTTCATGTTCTCGAACATGTTTTATGATATATTTGATCTTTTTGGGCCTTTATTTAACCCTTAAAAACTACCCCTATGCAAAAAATCATTATAAAAAATTACTTTTTAAAGATTTGGAATGATTAAATCGTGCAATTATTTAAAATAAAAGTTACCTTATAGCTAATAAAAGAATTTTTCACTTTCAACCCCTAAAAACCACCCCTGTATTGACAAAAATGATAAAAAATTACGTTTTAAATCTTGATATGCTATAATTGTGCAATCATTTAAAATAAAAATTCCCTTATATTGTTTATGAAAGAACATTTTACTTTTGCCATTTTCAACACTTATAAGCTACCCTTTTACCAATATTAATGAAAAATATATAGCCTATTATGCTCCGAAAAAATGTCATTGGTTTTTTTACCACAACTTGGTTAATTTTGAAGCTATAGTATCCTACAAAAGAGCATTTTAAAGATGATTTCAAGAGCTGTAAGATCGTTTGCATATACCTAAAACCTTTTAAGTCTTTCGTTTTTTAAAGGGAAAGGATTGAAAGGCTCGAGACACGTCGTTTTTTCACTAAAATTGATACTTCAAGCGGCAATATCTCCTTTATTTTTTATGCTATAGGAATAAAATAAAGCAAAATATTTATTGGAAAAAAAGCTACATTTTTGTTGTCTATTATTTTTTATGTACCTTTCATAGTTTCAGAGTTATTATATAAATAAGGCAATTTTTTTTGAATAATGAAAAACACGTTTTCAACTTTTACCGTACATTATTAAAAAAATACGCATTCTAAACCGGTCTAACTTCAGAATCGTATGAAAAACACTAAAACAAAACTAATTGTAAAGGGTCTACGATTAATTTTAATTCTGATGGAAATGGTACAGCGTTTGCTGCTCATTTTTCCTTAAAAAATATGAGCAACCCATCTGTTTTTGACGATAACTCCTTCAATTTTGCTCTAATTAAGTTTTATAAGTGCTCATTTTGAAGGTCTTTTTGAGTACTACAAAAACTGGAGCGTTATACACGTAAAATTAATCCTTTTTCCGTTAGTTGACGTTGAATACATCGATTCGAGTATTCCCCCCACTACAAGTCCCCTTCCACTAACCATATTTCGCTTATATAGGATGTACAACATTTTTTAAAAAACGATTTTATTTGTTTATTTATAAGCTACATTTTTGTTCATTACACTTTTTTTAATAAAATGTATAGTTTTTGAGTTATTTGCGAAAAATACTTTGAAAAACTGTCTTTTTTTCACTTAAAATTACAAGTTTTCAATCGTGAATAACTAAAAAAATATTAATATCTCGAAAAAATTCTTGAAATATTTTTTGCTCACAATTTGATTGTCTATCGATTTCCAGCGTTATTTTTGGAAAAAAATTTCCACCCCCGAGAAGGGGTGTCAACCCCCAACAGGGTGGAAGCGTCAATCGACGCTATGTCACTAATGTTCATTGATCTTTTCTCTAACTATCTGCCAAATTTCAAGTCGATCGGTTCAGTTTCAAAAAATGTGGAGGTGAAAAGCTTCAATGACTGTACTACTTGGTTTCTGTGGTATAGCTTGTTTATTAAATTATACGTTATTTCAATGCCTTGCATTTCAAACCCATATTATGAGCAGTGTTTTACCTGCAGTCATCTGTGGAAATGTTAGTTGCCATTTTCATGAAAACTAAAAATTGGGAGAGAATCCAAATTTTGAAAATATTTAAGAACTATTAAAAATAGCAATTAACTTTTTTAATACTTACTTAAAATCTGTATTTGTTTTAGAAGACATCAGTTTTAATCTTTTAGCAGGATTGGGTATAGAAGGAAAAGTCTCTACCATTTGTTTCTTAGGGGTCGTTTCATTTAATTTCTTGGCCTCAAGGATTTTTTGTGGTAATGTATTACCTCCGTCCTCTGTCTCATCAACCGTTGTTTCTATGCTTAAAGAAAGACAACTAGGCATTGCAGTCGTCTCAACCTGTGCAACATTCTCTTCTTCATAGTGAAGTTGCCGGAACATATGCAAAGAATCTATACAAACTATATCATCTATTAAAGAATTACCGCTTTTTTCCACTTCTCTTTGTAAAATAGGATAATCAAAATAAGTTCCATTGTGAGCAACAAAACATAGCGGTTTCTGATTATGGTTTAAAAAGCAGTTTATAGTGTTTATTGTATCAGATGAAAATTTAGATTGATGTTCCAAAATCGGATTCGAAAGACCTGAAACAAAAAAAAATTAAGTGTAAATGGAAGAAAATAATTTAATATAAAGACACTACATACTAATTATATAATACATTTTTTTAAATAATCTGAATATTTTTGTCCTTCGGAAATATTGTTAATTCTCGAATAAGTATAGTGATACAAAATTTGTGGTTTCGTCTTTTTTAATAGAAAAGCAGTCCAACAAGTGAACCTTTTCCAGATGCCCGCAGGCACTGGTAAATTATTGTTAGTATCTAATAAAACGGAGTGTACTAGTGAACAAAAGTGTTATTTGCAACATTAACCATACATCTTATTTTATTCCAGAATCTATAAGATATGCTGTTGCAATAAGTAGATTTTTTTTTTGGCCACCAACCACAGGTATATCGTGGATCTCCATAGTCTTAGAATTCCTCAGACTTTACTCAATTATTTTGTTGATCATTTTAAGAACATCTTTGGTTGGGTTTGCCACTATTTCTACCTTATTTTTCATGCATTTCTGAATAACTAAAAGGCACTGCCATAGAAAGAGTTTCTCCAAGGTTGTCGATTGGCCTAAGTATATCTCCAAATTCATATCTTCCCCGTTATCTAAGATAAAGATCACGTTGCGATTTACTAGACTTACCAAAGCACATCAACAAGTGCTTATATAGTACTTAGCCTGAATTTAATCTACGAGTTGAATGCCTGATATCAGATTAAATAGCATTTCATTATGAATAACAATCTTGTCTTAGATATTTGAAAGTAATTGGTAGTAGTATGAACACTTACACAAATTGAGCTTTACTGTATATTAATCTGTGATGTATAAAACAATCTAAAGATGTGCATGCCATATGGTTAAAAAAAGTATCCACATTTAATTTTATTTGGACGAGTGTCACATCTTCACAACTTATCTTTAAAAATTTAATTTGCAACTATATAAACCTCACTAAGTATGTTTTTAGTTAATGTACCTGTCATTTTCTCACTTTCCGTTGATATTAATTTCCAGGGATTAAAACACACATTTAGTTTATTTTGTACTCGTGGAAATACACCTAGCTGTATGTGACTTGCTTCTACAGCTACCATGCAGAGTTCAGTAATTTTTGTCTTATTATTTTCCATTCTTGGTAATCCTGTTGTTTCAATATCCAAAAATACAAATGTTTTTATATCCATTAACCTATTATTCGTTTTAGGTATCATTTGACAATAGAATCTATAATTATAAAGGATCAATCTATTCATAACTTCTGTTTGTTGCAGTCATTCTTGAATATTGTCTTATATCTCAAAATCTGATTTGTGTTAATCTTTTTAAACTAAGAAAATTTTTGAAATTTCTGTACTTCCATTTACCACAATTATTTATTTCCAATTTTCAGTTTTCACTCATCTCGTATAGAAATTATCTTGCTGTAGCAAAACAAAGCATGTAACTGTTTCTATACATTTTTTGAATTTTGACTATTTAATAATGATTTTATATAATTTATTTTGCATTTCCTAGAGTTACTTTCAGTTTCAGTTGTTTTTATTTTTTATATCTGAATTTCAGATTCTGAAATTCTGAATAGTGATGGGACTACTCGAATGAAAATTATCGATTATATCGATTATGAAAATCTCTCGAGATATCTCGAGTGGTCATATAGAATCATTCGATTATTCGGATACGAATGACAGTGGCCACAGCGTTACTAATACGTGCACTACTCGAGCGAGTGCGCAGATGTTTCGATTGTTCCAACGCTCTAACGAACTACAACATCTCGAGATAAGACGGCCGAGAGGATAGATGAGACAATCGAATATCACCGACATACAATAAAAAAGGTATGCAGGAATTTTATGAGTGGCATCGCGGGGGGTTAGATGGGAGCTTTATTTAGCGGGGATAAAAATTCATATGAATGAAAATAATACCAAATTATGTTTTCTATATAATTTTTTTTTTCAAAAAAATCCCAAACAATGGACCTCTTTAGGCGGCGACTACTCATTTTAAACACATGCTGCTGAATCACTCAACTGGCAACGAAGAAATATGGAAGAAATGCCCCAATCCGCGACAGTCATTCATTTACCTAACGTCAACATGTTTCGCATATGATTTGGGATAGACCGGAAATTTTCAAAGTGAACTTTCGATTATTCATTCGAATGATCATTCGATTATAAAATTAATTCGAATGGTAACCTCTCGATTATTTAATTCATTCGATTATTCCCATCACTA